TCTCAAAAGAAAAAAAAGTTTTTTGATGATTGTCTATAAAGGATATAGTAGAGTCCCTTTTAAGGTTTGATTTAATTAACTCAGAATTTTTTTTTTTACTTTTGGGAACATTCTTCTGGAATCTTCACCTAAATCTTTTATCAAAAAATGGCAAAATATGGCCAGATACAGTGGCTTACACCTGTAATCCCAGCTTTTTGGAAGGCTGAGGCAGGAGGATTGCTTGAGGCCAGGAGTTCAAGGCCTTGTCTTTGCAAAAAATAAAAATTGAGGGTGGTGCCTGTGGCTCAAAGGAGTAGGGCGCCAGCCCCATATGCCGGAGGTGGTGGGTTCAAACTCAGCCCTGGCCAAAAACTGCAAAAATAAATAAATAAATAAAAATTGATTCGGCATGGTGGCACATGCCTGTAGTCCCAGCTACTCTGGAGGCTGAGGCAAGAGCACTTGACAGGAGTTTAAGGTTGCAGTGAGCTCTGACTGTGCTACTGCACTCCAGCCTGAATGACAGAGCAAGACTCTGTCAGACAAGCAAACAAACAAAAATATTCCCAGGTCCTTGAGACTATTGAAAAGTGTCTTTATCTGTGACTAGAGATTCCAAAATATCACTTGGAAAATAAGAACTTTTGTGAAGAGCAGGATGTGATTTTTTTTCTCTTTTTACTTTGCCTGCTAGCTGCTGTGATTGGAACCAGGCTGCATGCTGCTGTGGCAATTGCTTGTGTTGTAATGGCCTTTTACGTCCTGTTCATAAAATGAATTCCAAAGTATCCAACTCATCAACTGCCAACCAAGGGGACAGGGATGAAGAACCTGTTGGAGGCCTGGACCCAGTGTAGGAGAGTTCAGCTAAAATCATCAGTCTCCAGGATGACACCACAGTTTCTGCCTCTGCCACATGTGAGGAAAACTCCTTATAGTCATGAACATTATATATGCTTCAGAGGACTCTGTAAAGCCAACTTCCTTTGATCTGTGTGTAAATCAGTCCTTGGCAGAATGCATATAATGTCCAGATAAATTACACTCCTCGGTGGTTAACATTACATACCTTCTGCTTAAAAACCTGTCACCTGTTTTGTTCTTCAGCACCTCAGTAGGGTTTCAAAATGAGGCTCATTAGGAAGGAAATAGGCTGTGTTTAGACCTTTTGGGAAGAAAGATAATTTTCAAGGCTTGACTTTTTTTACTGTTTGATTTGGATCTGGCAAATTGGGGAAGGGGTGCTAGGTGGAAAATAGGAGTTATGCAATGCCAAGAAATTGTTTGGCTTTGGAAATCTGTCTTTGATATACCCATCTGGGAGCATAAGCAACAGACATGGTCCTGTTGCAAAAAGAGAACAGATGATGTAGCTGTGCTGTATGCTGGTAGTTCAAGAGTTTTGCCAAGAAAATCTGAGCCTACATAAAATTTATGATTATTTGTCTGTGATGAGACCAGAAAGCCGTGGCTTAGACAAAAAATTTGTTATCAATACCCCCAAAAGGAGATGTCATTCAATCAAATGACATATGAAAATGAATCAACTCTTACTACATGTATTTGCTAAAGTCTTTTTATATTTTCTAAATTAATTAGTGCTAAATACTGTTGTTCAGTGAAATGCCACTAATAGGGGAGAAAGAAACTATTGAAAAAAATAATTGTTTAATATATTTAGAGTTAGAGAAGAAGAAATAAATCTAGTGTGTTTATTGATATACTAGTGAATTCATCTAGTATAAGAATTTATTATAATGTCAAATGGAAGTTTTGTCATGTTATAAAAGATACAGACTTTGGGGGTTTAAGTCTGGGTTGTTATGGCAATTTTTAGTTGAATACTTGTTTTTCTTGGCCAACTCTTAATTTTTTTCATATTGCAGTACTTTTTAGTTGTCTCTGAAAATTCTATGATATTTATAGTAAGAACATGAGAAATTCAAATGAGAAAAGTAGTTGATATTCATTAGCATGTTTGGACTGTACAGAGGGTCCATGAATAAAATGAGGGTGTTTCCTGAAGTAAAGGAAAACAGGTTTGCCAGTGAGATTAAAGGTCTTTGCCATGGAGTATAGTAACTGCTGAGCAAATCATTTTAGGTGACTTAACATTCAAAGGGAAGATTTCTCCATTCCATTTTTCTTATTCTGCAAAAGGATCAGCTATTAGGTTTATGAAATCTAGAACTTCTCTATTTAAAAAAAAAAGGTAACTCTAAAATTAAATTGTTATAAGCAAGCATAAGCATAGGTCAGTTTTCCAGTTGAACTGTCCATTATAGTAAAACTTAACTGCTGACAAGTTAGCTGTGGTTGATTCCTGTGTTGCAATAAATTGTTCTTTGTCTGCTTACTCCAAAAAAATAAAAGCTACTAGAAGTTTAGATTCTGAAATATGCAGTCCAGTGTTTGGAGGGTTTCTGGAAGTATAGAAAGTTATCAAGTGAACACTACATGTCTAATCATCTCAGAGTTGTGGCTGTTACCTCTTCAGGAATTGGTGCACAGGGTAAATTTCAATTATTCATCTATTTTCCATTGTCATTTCTGAGGACTTATGAGAGAAAGGAAGTCTAACGGAACAAGAAAGAAGAGTTACACCTTGTGTATGTGAGTTTGGGACCTGTTGGGCCACAGGGAATGTCACTCCCTGGAACTAGGTTCGCATGTTTTGCACTTATTTTGTAGCTTTAATGACTTTTGCTTTCTAATAGGGTTAATGTCTCTAAGCTTGGTGCTTAGAGTTGCTTCATATTTTAAAGTAGTTTCATTCCATAGTTGAAGTTCAAACCAATTTTTACAGCCTCCTGGGTCAAGTTTATCTTGACCTAAACTTTGGAGTTGTTATATTTTGAGATGTTTTCATACCAGAATGTACCAAAAAGTGCACAAGGTGAAGGTAATTCACAGCAGGAAACCAATACACAGCTTATTTCATTTCTTGACTTTACATAAGCAGATAAGCAGAAACTTGTTTAACTCATTACTTTGGTTGATGTGTCATACGTTTTTAAATAAAAATTATAGGAAGTTATTCCTCTGGGGGACTTTTTTAGGGGTGGAAGAATGGGGATAGCAGTATTGCCTCAAATTCAAACTGGCATCACCAGAAACCCTGTTTGCCAGGGTGGAATGAAGTCAGCTCCTTTTTATAGATGAAATACAATTTTTTATTCACCATTGTATGCACAAATCCTTGAAAATAAACTTTCCTTCCCTAGAGTCTCTGTCTATTTTATTTGTCACATGTTGAATTTATTCAAATTTGTTTACCGGGCACAGTGGCTCACGCCTGTAATCCCAGCACTCTGGGAGGTTGAAGTGGATGGATCACCTGAGCTCACTAGTTCCAAACCAGCCTGAGCTAGACCAAGACTCGGTCTCTAAAAAACAGCCTGGCAGTGTGACGGTGCCTGTAGTCTCAGCTACTTAGGAGGTTGAGGCAAGAGAATCGCTTGAGCCCAAGAGTCTGTCTCAAAAAAAAAAAAAAGAAAAAGAAAAAGAAATTTGTTCAGTAATCCCCTGGGTTCTGCCCATAGTGTACTTTTTAGCTTACATTAGTGAGTACCATCATTCCTATTTTTATATACTATATGAATGATTAGGTTTTGAGATGTAATAAATAAGGTAGTTATGGCTGGGCGCCTATAGCATACTGGTTACTGGCACCGGCCACATGCACTGAGGGTGGCTGGTTTGAACCCAGCCTGGGCCAGCTAAACAACAATGACAACTGCAACAAAAAAAATAGCTGGACGTTGTGGTGGGAGCCTGTAGTCCCAGCTACTTGGTAGACTGAGGCAAGAGAATCCCTTAAGCCCAGGAGTTTGAAGTTGCTGTGAGCTATGATGCCAAGCACCCTACAGAGGGTGACAAAGTGAGACTCTGTCTCAATTAAATAAATAAATACTTTATTCCTCCCTTACCCTTCTGTAAAATGATGGTTGCCTTCTCCCTTGGGAGGACCAGAGATTGCTGTTTCCACGAGAAAGAAGTAATTCACTTATAAATCTCCTGAATTTGAGTCATCTCATATCCAGAAATGAGTTCAATTTAAAACCAACGATGGGTTAATTTAATTAAGACCAACAAAAATAAAGTCAAGATCAAAGAAAAACTATCTTGTGCCTGTAAGCCTACCACTATAGGAAGTGAGGGGGCAGGATCGATTAGAGGTCAGTAGTTCAGCCTGAGCAAGAGCAAGCCTCGGTGCCAAAAATAGAAAAAAATAGCCGGACCTTATAGCCTGCACCTGTCCTAGCTACTCGGGAGGCTGAGGCAGGATGATTGCTTGAGCCCAGGAATTTGAGGTTGCAAGTGAGTCGTGGTGACGCCACTGCATTCTAGCCAGGCCGTCAGAATGAGACCCTGTCTCAAAAAAAAGTCAAAAACTATTGATACAGGTATAAATGTGTTGCTTAAACAAAAATCAAAAAACAACTACGGTTCTGTATTGTAGAAATTAGACCAGCCTTGCCCTGGGATCTGGGTTCCCCTCCGAGCCTCGCGAGGGCAGCAACGCACGCTCGGACAAAGCAGGCAGCAACATTGCCCGCCAGCGCTCGGTGGTTCCTCCCAGAATCCTCCCGGGCGCAAGAGGGGGCGGAGGACTTAAAAGAGGCTGTGTACTTCCGGCGCTTATGGGAGGGAGAGCAGCCAGGGGCGAAGTTGTGTGTGTGTGGTGCTGCGGTGTCGCGTGGAAAGCGCGTGTGGGGCGAGTGTGAGTGTGCGCGCGAATCTAATTGAGTGTGCGCGCGTGGGGCGTGCTAGGTGAGTGTGTGCGCCCGCCCTGTGCCTCTTCCTACACCTACACTTTGATCTTATTTGATCGGGTTGTGGCCCCAGCCCCGCCGGGCAGACCCGAAATGAAAAGCTCTCCTCCTGCGAAGCCTCCTTTTCGGGGCGCTGTGCAGCGAGGCCCTTTGGGCGGCGGCAACGCCGCGGTCTCCGAGGTCCCGGAGTCGGTCCTGCGGGGCCCGGCGCTCAGAAGTGATGAATTGATCAGATAGACGAGGCCGGGATCGTCCCGGGCCACTGATTATCGAGGCGATTCTGATCTGAGCCCGGCCCCAGAACACGGCCGCCACGCGTTGGGCCAGCGCGTTAACGGTCTGCGACTGCCGGGAGCGAATGACCCTGTCGCCCCGCCCTCGGGAGCGGGAGCTGGAAGGAGGGTGCAGGCCTGCCTTGTTCGCTGCTGCAGTTTTTCTTCCCTGGTTCTCTCTTTTTTCTTTTTTTATTCTTTAGGCTGGGCTTGACTTACGACTTGTCGTATGGTGTCAAGGCTGGGGTCCCTTGGGCTAAAGCCTATACGGCCTCCTACGGGATACATATACACACGTGTGTGTGTCTATACAGGGTGACTTTAAAGTTCGTGTGCATTAAACTGCATTAAATTGCACGCGACCTTTATGGTCACTCGGTATATGTAAATATGTCCATTAGGAAAACGTGGAGTTTTCCTTAGGTGGAGAAGAAGCCACCATCATTCTTTCGGGAGTAGCCTCCATTGGTGGCTGCAATGTGAGGGGACACTGTGGAGAAGAGGGAGTGGGCTGGAAATCGGGAGAGCTTATGGAGAGTGCAGATTCTGGGGACGCACCCAAGAGTTAATGAATTAGAATTAGAGACGTCTAGGAATATGTTATTTTAAAAGCTACTATCTTAACCCGCGTGAGGTTTTCTTTGCCTTTATTTTTTATTTTATTTGAGACAGTCTCATTATGTTGCCCTCGGTAGAGTGCTGTGGCGTCTCAGCTTACAGTAACCTCCAACTCGTGGGCTTAACCAATTCTCGTGCCTCATCCTCCCAAGTAGCTTGGACTACAGGCGCCCGCCACAACGCCCACCTCGTTTTTCCTATTTTAGTAGAAACAGGGTCTCATCGTTGCTCAGGTTATTCTGGAACTGCTGAGCTCAAGAGATATGCCCACCTCGGTCTCCTAGAGTGCTGGGTAGGATTATGGGCTTGAGCCAACCGCACCCGCCCCACATGAGTTGATTATCAAGGGAGCCACCCCTCTGCCACTTTCAGCCATTCTAAATGAGAACTGAAACTTCATATTGCCATTTGACAGCAGATGCTATCAGAAAGATAGGAGCGTCCCAGTGGAAAGTGACTCACAGTTTGGTTTAAGAACCTGAGTATCTGGGTGGCACCTGTGGCTCAAAGGAGTGGGGCGCTGGCCCCATATACCGGAGGTGGCAGGTTCAAATCTGGCCCTGGCCAAAAACTGCAAAAACAACAACAACAAAAAACCCTGAGTATTTGAGCTTGGAGTCTGTAGCTCAGCGGTTAGGGTGCTGGCCACATACACCGAGGCTGCTGGTTTCAAACCTGGCCAGGGCCTGCTAAACAACAATGACAACTACAAGAAAAAGCCAGATGTGGTGGGCGCCTGTAGTCCCAGCTACTTGGGAGGCTGAGGCAAGAGGATCTCTTGAGCCCAAGAATTGAGGTTGCTGTGAGCTATGATGACGCCATTGCACTCTATCCAGGGTGACAAAGTGAGAATCTCTTAAAAAGAAAAGAGAATGGGCTATGTCCATTCTTGTTTCCTCAACACTTAGCTAAATGCTTAATAAATAAGGAGTGGATGGCTTGGTATGCTTGAAGTGACTTGCATTTACAAAATGTGAATCCCTGTGTTCTGCCAAGAACTACTACCCTGCCCTAAATCTTTTATCTTTTAAGGTAAAATAACTTTCCAAGTTGCAAATATACTTAACAGATTAGTTTCTAGAAGTTGGGAACTTTCCCTCCCATGTTTTAAGAGTAAAGTAGCAACTCATAGTCCATGCATAACAGACTCTTCATACTTTATCTTGCACAAATCTATTTAATGAACGTAAGTGGCCAGATGTTCCACTATAATTAGTCCAGGGGCCTGTCTACCTTAGGTGGAGAAGAAGCCACCATCATTCTTTCGGGAGTAGCCTCCATTGGTGGCTGCAGTGTGAGGGGACACTGTGGAGAAAGAAGAGGGAGTGGGCTGTAAATTTCAGACCTTTTGCCTTTTCTGGGAGCCTTTAGTAACTCATACATTTCTGGATACTATGGGTACATATGCCAGTTTCCCCAGTATCCACCTTGGGAAAACTGGCATATGGAGGCATGAGGAGAAGTTATTATAGCTCTTTCATGCCCAGGTTTCTGCCCTGTGCCTGCCCTTGGTGTAAATGTTTGTCCCCTAAAATCTAAGGCTGCACTAAGAGGTCCTGAAATTTGAATTTCTTCTTTAGCTCTATAGTCAACATGTCCCTGGTATTAGTATGATATGTACCCAACTTAATTAGTGTTTTCCAAGATCCTTAGTAACCCCTGGTCTTCCCTATTAGCCAGTCACCTCAAATCCCAATTCCTGGGCCCATTTAGGGAGATTGCACCACCCCATCTACCCACCCAGTCTTCTAACCCTTACCTATGGATCCCTGGATGCTGTAGATGGACTCCTTCTTAGGATTGATCCACTGTCTGATGTTGGCCTGGGAAGTGATGGACGTTGGAGAGGGAGAAGATAAAAGTTTCCCAGGGAATTGGATCTTGTGTCTAGAAGATGGTGTGGGCAAGAAGAGAAGATGGTGAAATCGGAACGATGAGGGAAAGGTAGTGGTATACAGCCTCAAAAATAAAGTAGATAGGCCAGGTGTGGTAGCTCACGCCTGTAATTCTAGCACTCTAGAAGGCTGAGGCAGGAGGATTGCCTGAGCTCAGTTCAAAGCCAGCCCGAGCAAGAGTGAAACGCATCTACAAAAAACAGAGAAATTAGGTGGGTGGGGTGGCTAGCATCTATTGTCCCAGCTACTCAGAGGCTCTGGAGGCTGAGGCAGGAGGATCGCTATAGCACAGGAGTTTAAGGTTGATGATACCGCTGTAATCTACACTCTAGCTAGGGCAACAAAGTGAGACTCTGCCTCCAAAAAAAAAAAAAAAAAAAACCCTCAGCCAAATAGGCCCTTTTCACCTTCTATGTAGTTAACCAAATACTTTGTTTGTTTATGCAGATGAACACAATCTTGAGGGAGTTTTGTTCATTTTGGACAATAAAAATATAGAAATTACAGATAATAGATATAAAAACACAGACATTTGTATACACATGAGTACCTGTTCGTTGTTATTTCCCAGATAACATTTTACCTTATATGATCAAATGGCAGTATCCTTAGGGTGCAGAGGCCTCTACCACTTACCCATGGGTATCCTGGATAGTCTTCTGGTGTAGTAGTATCTCATTTTTGTTTTTGAACATCCCAGTGTGGTGGTTGTACAAGGCTGCTAATCGGAAATCCAGGTCATCCTTTGGTATCTACAGAAGTCAATCCCCCAAGGTTAGTTGGCCACCTATGTCGCTTTTCTAGAGAGTTCTTTTGGACTCTCAGCAGTACAGTGAAGGCCCTCTTGGGCCTGAAATCCACCAAGTCCTTACATACTAAATTGTACATGATGACTTAACTCTTGTTAATGTGGAATTGTTTACCTTATGGGTAGACCAAAGGAGTATTGAGCTTTCACTGACTTGGGCTCAGTCTACTTTACCTCTTTTATGTTTATATTCAGCCCTTGTTTTCATTGAAAGAATGAGGAAGCTGGTAAAATGATTTGCTCCAGTTAATTGCCCAGAGTAAAACTCAAGACTTCTCACGTTCCAGAGGCCAAATAAATTGGCTTTTGGCTTTGGATTTGGTAGGATCTTTGGTTGGGACAAAAGGAAAGATGCTGAAGCAGTCGGGGACAGACTGATTTCAAAAAGAATATTAATGATTCCTAAGTGGAGGGAAAGAGAAATAGCTTTTCAATGCTTGGTACCTGGGAATCAAAAAAGTAGGGATCCCGCCTCATGGAAGTAATTGTGGGAGTAGAGCTGAGCCGACTCCAGGGTTCCTCTTGCTGAGCCAGGTGAGGTGGGTTCTTGTATGGCAATTTCTGCAAAAGAGAAACCATATCCAGGATGACTTGGTTACAGGATTGCTGATGTCACTTCAGTGATACCCCCTTATTCCATCCTGTATGATTTGAGTCTCAGAAGGACCTCTGCAAAGACTAGAATGAAATGGGATGAGACTTCCCCAGGCTTTTGATGTAAGTTTTCTTAGTGTGAACCTACAGAAATGGGCCAGGAGGCTCGGCGCCTGTAGCTCAGCGGCTAGGGTGCCAGTCACATACACAGGAGTTGGCGGGTTCGAACCCAGCCCAGGCCTGCCAAACAACAATGACAACTACAACAAAAACTAGCCAGGCATTGTGGCGGGTACCTGTAGTTCCAGCTACTTGGGAGGCTGAGGCAAGAGAATTGCTTAAGCCCAAGAGTTTGAGGTTGCTGTCAGCTTGTGATGCTACAGCACTCTACCCAGGGCGACAAAAAAAAAAAAAAAAAAAGAAGGCCAGGAATACATGAGACGGATGGAGTGGAACAAGGGTGAGGTGAAGGTTGGGCAGCAGATAGGAAAGATGAGGTGCTTAGGTTTTAATGTCCTGACTCAGAAGAAAAAGTGAGAGTGGGCAGGTGCAGTGGTTCATGCCTATAATCCTACCACGCTGTGGGGGCCGATGTGGGAGGATCCCTGAAGCTCAGGAGTTCAAGACCGGCCTTAGCAAATCAAGATCCCTGTCTTTACTAAAAATGGAAAAATTTTTAGCCTGGGTGAGGTGGCTCTCACGCCTGTAATCCCAGCACTTGGGAGGCCAAGGCGGGTGACTTGAGCTCAGGAGTTCAAGACCAGTCTGAGCAACAGTGAGACTCTATCTCTAAAAACTAGCCGGGAGTTGTGGCAGGCACCTGTAGTCCCAGCTACTTGGGAGGCTGAAGGAAGAGAATCGCTTAAGTCCAAGAGTTTGAGGTTGCTGTGAGCTGTGATGCCACAGTACTCTACCAAGGGTGACAAAGTAAGACTCTTGTCTCAAAAAAAAAAAAAAAATTGCCAGGCATGGTGGCACATGCTTGTAGTCTCAGCTTCTCAGGCAGGCTGAGGCAAGAAGATTGCTTGAGCCCAGGAGTTTGAGGTTGCTGAGAGCTAGGCTGAGGCTATGGGACAATTATATGGCCCAATACAACTGAGTGGGGGACCCCGGAGGGGGGGACAATCAGAAACGAAATCAGCAGAGTCAAAGCAGGTCATTGATGGACCACAGGAAGGTCAGAAAAAGTCCACTCGTCATTCATTCCTCCAAATAAGACCCTGTAAGCATGAATGTGAAAAGCTCATGACTGATTTCTTCATTACATGTAAAACCTCATATTGTTCACCACTGTCCCCAGCCCCTAGCCCAGTGACCTAAAACATGGGATTGAAAAATGATACATATTGAGTCCATGACTGAATTCCAGTGAGTGCAACTATAGTCTATTAGAAATCTCATTCAACCTATTCGATACTGTAACCCTCCTTCTGTACAATATGGCAAGTGCTGTGTGAGTCAGCGCAATTAAAACTTAATTGAGGTCAGGCACCACTGTGGCTCACACCTGTGATCCCAGCACTTTGAGAAGACAAGGCAGAAAGATCACTTGAGGCCAGGAGTTCAAGACTACCTTGGACAACATAGGAAAACTCCACCTCTACAAAAAATAGAAAAAAAATTAGCCAGGCATGGCGGCATACATGTGTAGTCTCAGCTACTACAGAGGCCAAGGGAGGAGGATCTCTTGAGCCCAAGAGTTTGAGGTTACAGGAGCTGAAATAATACTACTACATTCAAGCTCTGACAACAGAGCGAGACTGTCTCAAAAAAAAAAAAAGCCCTTTAATTGAACAGTATGTATCAGGCACCATGCTACCACCAGAGAGATGAAATATGAAAGAAAACTATAAATATATATGATGCAAGTATAGGTTCAGCTATCCTTTGATATGGCTACTTAAGGCTCATGTCTATCAGCAGAAGAAGGAGATTATCTTTCACTGAGAAAGTCAAGCACAAAAGCCATGTTCACATCCACTTTGCTTCTAGCTCAAGGAAAAGGATGTCCCTGAACTGAGCCACTCCCTGTGCTTCTGAGACCTGCACGGTCCCCTTTTTTATGAATTACCAACCGTCCCATTACCTTTCCTGTAAAACCAGAGTTACTCAAGAACCAATATTTCCTATCTCCACTTCCTTTTCCCATCCCCTCCTCAGTTCACTACAATCTGGCCTTTGCCTCAGGCACCCACTGACATTGCTCTTGCTAGTAACCACCAACCTCTGAGACCAGGTCAGCTGGATCCTTTCTAGACTTGACTTGATTTGATCTCTATGGTTTCTAGCACCACAACCCTGATTCCCTCAAATGCTTTCTCCAGTCTCTATGAGCCCAGCTCCTCCTGGTTTTCCTCCTGCCTCTGGAAGTTGTCTGCTGCCTCCTGGGCTCTGCTTGCTCTCTGCCCCTGAGTAGTGGTATTCTCCAAGGGCCTGCTTTTCTTACTCTCACACTTGCTGGATGAGCTGATTCCTTCCCATGGTTTCAGCTACCAAGGCTCCCAGACATGCCTCTTCAACCTAGAACTCTCAACCCTATTGCCTACTACTAATCTTCACTTAAGTGTTCCTCAGGCACCACAAAAACATCTACATAATTGACCTCAACACCTTTCTCCCCAAACCTTCATCCCTGGAAGCATCTCAGTGAATGATATCAACTAAGCCCTCCGAAACCTAAGAGTTATTTTAGACTTGTCCCTCTCTTGGGCCCATATCCAGTCAGCCAGTGAGTCCTATCAGCCTGGCCTTTTGCATCTTTCTCACATCTGCACCTTCTTGCCATCCCCTGTGTCACTGCTATAGATCCGTTATTCTTCTTTCTGGACGTCACTGCACCTGCCTCTTTGCTGATCCCTCATCTCCTGCTCATCCTGTCCAGTCCATTCCCACTCGTGCTTTCTAAAACACTCAGCTAATTGTGTCACTTCAGTGCATAAAATCCCTCATGATTCCCCACGTCCTCAGGATGCACTCCAAGCTAACTAGCCTGCTATACACAACACTCCCGGCCCACCAAGGGCACTTCTCCAGCCCCTGTCACGTCACATCTCCATTTCACACCTACACTTCAGCACTTCTGGACTATTTATAGTTCTCCCTCTCCTTTCCATGTATTTGCAAAGGCTGCTTCCTTTGCTCTGGCTCCTTTTTTCTTTTTTCGAAACTCACAATCTACCCTCTCCCTCACCTGGCTCAACTAACTCATATTCCGATGTCAAAACCCACTCTCTTTGGGAAGCTTTCCTTTAAGTTCCTGGTTCTGCAGGCACCCTACATATGTCACAACACATGTGCTATTATGCAAACATTTTTGCTGTTGTTGCTGTTGGTCCATGTTTTCTACTCGAGTTCCTTGAGAGCAGGAGCTACACATAATTTATGTATATATCCTCAATGTTTTGCAGAGTGTCTGGTATACAGTAAATAATAAACATTAAATAAATAAAAAGAAGCTCTTTGATATTGTTATTAAGCCACAGTTACAATTTATTTCACTTTATTTTGCACCACTTTAAATATCCTGAATGCTTCTTCCAGAATAAAGATCATCTGAATTTCTAAATCCCTGACCACATCGTGTTAAACACACACATATACAAACACGGCATTAGTGTTTGTGCGGCACTAGTCACAAGACTGACACGCGCGAAGACAGATGTATAAAGCCTGACCTGGTGGCTTTCAGAGGGTCCTCTTCCACTCCGTATGTCTGCGTCTCTTCAGAGAACAGTTTTCTAAACAGGGAAAAGTAGCTAAATTGAACTGCGCCTTTCCATGGCTTCTGCCAATCATTGCTTTGGGCTGTTAAGAGTCCCTTGTTCCTCTGGACTAGCGCTCTACTTTCCTCTGCTTAGAAGTGCCTCTGAAATGTTAGCAGACCTGAATATGGGGACAGGCAGGCTGTCCCCGACTCACCAGAGTCCTTTATCTTACCCATCTCTGCCCGTCACACCAACAGAAAACAGATTGCCGGAGACCCTACAGGGAATCTGCGCGAGAAACCACAGTACCTGGGAAGCCCGCAGTTCTCCCAAGTAGGAATCATCGTTATCTAGCATAGGGTGCTGGAAAGGGTCCCGGGTGGGAGGCATGGTTAATGGTCAAGTAGACCTTATGAGGGATGCGAGGTCAGTGCAACCACAGCACAACCTCGCGGCAGAGGATCCGGGGTCCCAATTGTTAGGAAGGTCCAGTTGCGGTTGCCTGGCAACTGACCCGCCGTCTATGACCCAGATGAATTCCCTTCATGAAGGGCGCCACCTAGCGGTTGGACGCGGGAGGCCGCTCGGGAGGAAGTTGCCGGGGATGCCCTGGAACCCTGAATTCGCGCTCCTGAGCCTCAGTTGAAACGCGCTGGCCTCCTACCGTACAAGACTTCTGCGAAAGATTTAAACTGAGGAAAGACGTCCTAAAAGATGACCTAGAAATTTCCTTATCCCTCGCACATAACAAAAGGCTTTCCTATTTTCAAAGCAATGTGAGAATGAGGATGTCAAGAGACCAGCGAGCCCAAGAGTCATACTTGGAAAATTGGCATCTAAAGCAAACTCGGTTTAACTATACGAATCTCATAGAGCCAGTTGTAAAAGCACGGATGGATTTGGCGGGATGGAAGTAAGATTTCCGGAAGCGGTTTTTGTAGTGGGTAACAGGGACTGGAGCCGCTCTTGTAGGCGACAAGTTCTGGAAGGGACAGACGGCTCTCAACCTTCTATCAGTTCACATGCCGTATATGCAAAATCAGAAATGCTAATAAATGGCCCCTGGCCCTAAAGGGAAGTAGAAAACTGGAATTCGTCGGCAGTGACTTGGAGAATGTTTCCACCGCGTTCTTCACGCGAGCCCTGGATCCGCCTGTTGGGTCGGTTGCACTCCGCGGGCGCGCGCACTCCCACACCGCGCGCGCCCGCGGTGGCGGCTGCCATGGCGACCGGCAGGTGAGCGGCAGAGGCGCGCGTGGTCCCTGCCCCACCCGCGCGGAGCGAAAGAGGAGGTGGTTGTCAAGGCGACGCGGGTAGGAGGAGAAGAGGACGGAGGGAGGAGGAAGGATGGGCGGCCTTGGCGTAGCCGCCGGGAGGTGACTGAAGCGAGCCCAGCCCCTTGCATCCTCCCCCTGTGTACCTCCCTCCCTTTTTTTTCCGCCTGCTGCCCCAGAAGCTGCGGCCGAAGCACCTGAGCCGCTACTGCCGCTCACTCAGGGCAACGCTATGGCTGAGCCTGGGCACGGCCACCAGCCCTGTGCCAGAGGCCGGGGAAGGAATGAGAGGCACACATTCCGGCTTCTGCGGCTGCTGCTCTGGGCTGGGACCGCCTTCCAGGTGACCCAGGGAACAGGACCAGAGCTTCACGCCTGCAAAGAGGTACTGCCACCCCCCTGACCTGACCCCGCTTAGGTCACAAAAATATTGGATCCAGGCAGAGACCTTGGGGACCGGGCGCAGACAGTTTCAGAGGCCACGGAGTTTAGGTTTCTTGGCGGATGAGGCGTGGGGGGAATAAGGGGAATAGACTGGCGTCATGGGGAGGCCAGTCCGCTGAAGGACTCCTAAAGTAGATATCCTCACAGCCTAGGGTGCTGAGCTCAGCGAGAAATGTCCCACCTCCAAGAGGAGGAGTGATCTGGACAGCTGGACTCAGAACGAAGGAAGAAGACTTGAGTTGTTTTCCACCTGGGGTGAAATTACCTTAAAAGTGGTTGACAGCAAATGACTAGGTCCAGAGAAGGAAAGTAGAAAAAGGAGAGTAGCGGGATAAGAAAGGTGTTAGGAAGGCCAGAAAAAGCAGCAGAGTGGAGTGGGATTCCCTGTGGTTTTTATCATGGCTTTAAACAACAGCGTGTCAAGGTGGGAGAATTGTGAGACGGTAGGATCCCATCAACTCTCCCGTTCCTCAGTATTATAGTTAACCTTGCAGGCTGCTAAATGTGGATCCTCGTCACAGCTTAGCCTTTCCCCAGCACACTTTGTTCAGCATTTGGGGTTCTTTAATATCTCGTTTTCTACCAGTCTCTCCTCTTATCTGGACTTCGGTTAACATATGTCTTAAGTCTTTTTCAAGATGTTTACAAAATGCAGGCAACAGAATTCAAACAACAGGTAGTGAGGGTCTTCCAACCAAACATGTCTTTTGACAAATCTTTTTGGAGGGGCACAAAAAGGTTGTTCAGAGTAATAAAAATTAAGTAGTTTCTATATTATTGAAATAACCATATTTTGTTGTGCTCTGAGCAACCTTTTCCTAACCATATGACAGAGGCAACAGTAAAATATTTATGAGAACTGTATTGTGGAAGGCAAAATAAAAGTTCTGTTAGCTCTGTGAAATGGGAAAGACTTCCGAAAAAGTCAAGAGTCTAGGGCTGTGGATGTTATCCCAAATGCCAAATTTGACTAAGGTTCGAAGATGTTAAAATATTATCATAAATTATTAGAGTTAACTGATTAGCAACAACAACATTCCATATGGAGGTATATTAGTAAGTATTTAAATGTGTTCTAAGCATTAGAAGGTCTACAACATAGCAGATCATGAAGGAGAAGGGGAGATTTTTGTGTGACTGAAGATGCTTGGCTTTGAAGATTCATGTATGTGATATAAGTGACCCCAGTCGGTGGGACTTTTGATAACTTTTATTAGTCCTAAGGACAACCTGCCTTGGGCCATCTGCATTTCCACACAGCCACTTTATGACTTGTTTTAGAAATGTCTGGGAACAGGATGATCTTACCAGTGACTGACTCACTGGCCTCAATGGCCCCTAGTCTCACCAACCAAAATAATGAGAATATAGCCTGAGATTTTTTACCTAAGAATCAAACATGGGAGTCTCCTGAGTGGAAGGTAAGAATCTTGCAGTTCAACTACCAATTCTTGTCCAGGTCTTTGTCAACTATGAAAAATATGAGACATTTAAGAAATTAAACACTTCATATACATATCTTGTTTTAGAGGGAGGGAAGAATATTGATACTTAAGAATGCTAACTCGCACACAAATTTTGCCTTTATCCCTATTTAAATGATTAATATTTGCCAAAGCAAAGGGTCTTACCAAAAAGCACTTTGAGTGCTTACCAAAAGTACTTTGAGTTATGGAGCTCAAAGTACCCAGGTCATTTACTTACCACAGTTTGGGGATCTGTAGAATGGGTATTACAATAACACACACCTCAGAAAGGATTGCTTTGAGTATTGAAAGAGAAAATACATATAAAGAGTTATATAATCCCGTTCCCTGTTTGACTTTTTTTTTTTTTCTGAGGCAGAGTCTCACTCTGTTGCCCAGGCTGGAGTGCGGTTCAAATTCCTTGGTTCACTGCAGCTTCAAACTCCTTGGCTCAAGAGATCCTCCTGCCTCAGCCTCCCAACTAGCTGGAACTGTAGGCATGATCCCTCACACCCAGCTGATTTTTCTATTTTGTAAAAAAGGGTCTTAGGGCAGCGCCTGTGGCTCAGTGAGTAGGGCGCCGGCCCCATATACCCAGGGTGGCAGATTCAAACTCGGCCCAGGCCAAACTGCAACAAAAAAATATCTGGGCAAGCGCCTGTAGTCCCAGCTACTCGGGAGGCTGAGGCAAGAGAATCACCTAATCCCAGGAGTTGGAGGTTGCTGTGAGCTGTAACGCCATAGCACTCTACCAAGGGCAATAAAGTGAGATTCTGTCACTAAAAAAAAAAAAAGAAGAAGAAGAAAAAGAAGGGTCTTATATGTTGCTCAGGTTAGTCTTGAACTCCTGGGCTCAAGTGATCCTCCTGCCTCCGCATCCCAAAGTGCTGGTATTACAGTTATAAGCCACTGTACCCAGCCCCTGTTCAGCTTCTTTACCATTAGATTTATACCCTATGCCAGTTGAAAGTGACTTAGAAAGCATGCTCATTGGCCACAGGTGTCAGCAAGTCCTGTTTACACTCTCCTTGAGCAAACAGTGGTCACTGAACACCCTTGACTCGAAAACAATAAGGAAGAGAATAAACCCATTATTAGAATGTTCTTCATTTGGCAATATGAACTGATCCAACAAGTTTGGGGGCTTCCAATGCTAAATAGTGTAAAACCAATTCAGGGTAGACTATTTCTTCTCTGTTCTTAATCTTCATATGAATTTCTTGTAAGCCTGTGCTGGGTGTTGATGGCAGGGACTCTTACCAGGCCAACGCTGACCCTACCCACAACACTGCTGCCCCCGCCTTATTTGTGACAGCTGAGGCATTCCCCTGGATCTAATCAGGAAACAGAGAGCTTTAACTTGAGGCCTAAACTGAGCTGATAGAGACCTGGGAGTTCTAGACGGCTAAATATGTGCTGGGGCTTGGTGTTCCTCTCACAGTTTTACGATAATCAGGGCCACAAGTGGAGGTAAACATCCTGTATGATGTTTGTCTTTATGAATCATTTCTTTAGCCCTATGCTAGCCAGGCTAAGTGCTGACTGAGCGTCAAAGGAGCATTTCCCATAGCACAATGAATCGAATCAAATGAGAGAGGAGCAGAAAACAGCCTTTAACAGGATCTGCCTTGTCCTGAGGCTCCAATGCTAATTGCCCTCAAAAGGATTTCTCACTGTTTATTGAAAAGCCCATGAGGCTTAGGAATCTGGCAAACATGATTTGGAACAAAATTTGTTGAATGAGTGATGTGATTTAGTAAGGATGGGAGCAAGTTAATTAACTTCTGACAGCCTCAGATTCCTATCTGTAAATGGGGGTAATAATACCTCACAACAGGGCCGTTATGAGAATTAAATTAAAGGAGATAACACTTGTAAAGTAGTATATACTCCCCACTTTTTGAGACAGAGTCTTGCTGTCGGGTGTCATCATAGCTCACAGCAACCTCAAATTCTTTTTTTTTTTTTTTGAGACAGAGTCGCATTATGTCACCCTCAGTAGAGTGCCGTGGCATCATAGCTCTCAGCAACCTCAAACTCTTGGGCTTAAGCGATTCTCTTGCCTTAGCCTCCCAAGTAGTTGAGACTACAGGTGCCCACCACAACACCTGGCTATTTTTTTATTGCAGTTGTCATTGTTGTTTAGCAGGCCCAGACCCGGCTCGAACATGCCAGCCTGGGTATAGGTGGCCAGCGCCCTAACCACTGAGCTATGGGTGCCGAGCCAACCTCAAACTCTTGGGCTTAAGCTATCTTGTCTCAGCCTCCCCAGTAGGTACCCACCACCACAACCGGCTAGTTTTTCTATTTTTAGTAGAGACAGGGTCTCACTCTTGCTCCGGGTGGTCTCTAACTTCTCAGCTCAAGCCATCCTCCTGCCTCGGCCTCCCAGAGTGCTAGGATTACAAGCGTGAGCCACCACATCTGACCTTTATTGTACATACTTTTTATATGTCATATGTCATATGTCATACTTTTTATATGTCTGCCTAATAAATGTTGTTAGGCAGAAAAGTTAAGTACATAAATAAGGCCATATAAATGATGATGTAAGGTTAGTACGTGGTAAACAACATAGGAGCAGCAATAGGAAAGTTAATAGACAAGGAAGGAAGAAAACTTATTTGAACAGTTGAGATTTGATCTGCTTCTGGAATAATCAGTAGCATTTCAGTGGGCAGAGATGGAGGAAGGTGCTTTCTAAAGAGAGGGAGGAGCCTGAGGAAAGGTCCACAGGTGGAAAAGGCAGGTGATGGGGAATTGCAAGTAGACTGTTAGCTGAAACGTAGCAAAGAGGGTCGGGGGGAGAGGAGTACAACAGAAAATAAAGCTGGAAAGTTAGAAGCTAAGTGTGGAGTCCCTGGAGGATTTCTGGCAGAGCTAGCATACTACTCAGAGCGGATTAGCATGAATATGAAGTAAACAGGTTGAGGTGGGCTAAAAGGTGAGAGCCCAGAGTGGGGCAAGGGGACCAGAAGAATTCACCGAGGTCAAGGAGGAGGTTAACAAAGGCACTGAACTGGACGGTGGCAGTGGGGTAAATGGAAAAGCAGAGATATGAAAGATAAGCTGAAGGTACAGGTTAGGGGACTTGGCAACTGCCTGGACGGGTAGGGTGACGGTGAGGGGCAGGTCCAGGATTTTTGTCAGGATTTTAGAGCGGGAGAATGGTAGGAGTTACTAGCCCAGATGCAGAAAGAACAGCTTTAGGGAGCCAAGTGATCCCTTTTCTTGGCTCTGACTTCCCTGGGATCAGCCCCTTTGGTAGGTGGGTGAAAGTTCTGAGCTTTTGGCATGTGGCTTCAAAGCAGGAGCATAGCTTCTCGGCTTGTATATGTTTTCCTGCATTGGGCTCAAACAGATTAGTTGAAGTTTAAGCCCCACAAGGAAATGGCTAGATCTAGAAAACATTTAGAACTCATGAACTTTTAGGAAATATTCAGGAAAGCATAACATTTAAAATGACTCCTTTGGT